AAACAATTCTTCAAAGTCTTCTTCTACGTCCATGCTTTCCTTACCTACTAAAGAGTCTCTGTATGAGATCTGAGACCATAGTGTGGTACGACCATTAGCAAGCTTCTGCTGGGATTGTGAACTACCCCGTTCCCGTCGGACACCTCAACATCTCCATCCCCAATATTTTCATTCCTGAACCGCCATGCAACTTGGTAACACTGCGTTCAATGGCATCTTCCTCATCCTTCGTAAGGCCCTCTCTAATCTCTCCTACAACCTGACCCTCTGAACCAACCCCACTAGCAGTAGAAGCCCCACACTCTCTCTTACTAGTTTTCTCTCTCATACTCGCTAGTTTACCTAGTCAATCACAAAACTTTTAAATCTTAATTTGAATAGTGCAGATGCTCATCACCTTAGTTGACTGTCGAATGGGTGAGTGTGCTCTCGGGCTAAGTGTTTGTTTTAATTAAGTTTTCTTAAGATTATTCTAGCTGAAGCAGTGACTGTTCCCATACATGCTTAGATTTTGCTTGCTTATATATATATATATATATATATATATATATTTATTTATTTATTATCAATATATTTCCAAAATAAGATGATCAAATGACCAGAAATTTGTGCAAGGATTTTTCAAAAGAACTCATAAAATTTAGAAGATAAAAATAACAGAGAATAGAATTATATAGAATAAAAAATGTTTTTGTCTTTATATCTCATAAAAAATCTATCCAATAAAAGAAATCTACAACGTCAGACTCAAGATTATAATCAGGCAACTAGGCAACGAAACGGGAATTGGTTTAATCAGTAGGCTTTTCCCCCTTCAGTTTCAACTTTCGTAACATGAAAAAATCATCATAGTGAAACCTTACTAGAATCGCTCATTCGCTCCATTTGATGGAAAGAACAGAGTGACTGAAAGAATAAATCGTATACGATTTCATGACTGCAATTCAGTAGCTAAATGACCAGATATCCATTATCTAATATTCGAAGTGAATTTTTTTTTACCGATTTCTCGAGGCAAAGTCGTATAGCGTTCTCAACAGCATTGGCCGCCGTCCTCATAAATTCCTCATTAATGTCGGGCAAAAACTCAGCACATGCAAAGAATGCTTTGTTTTTTTTAATAGAAGCCCATCGAAAAATCGTGCAAACAGACATATTAAGTCATATCAGTGTACAAAAAGTTTTTACAATCAGAAGGTGGACTATCAAAAATCTAAACAATTGAGTTATCAGGAAAGGCTTGATCGGTCATCCAATTTGCGCATTTGTTAACCTTTCTGAAAATGTGATTAAAAGTAACTAACCAATTACGTATAAGAAGATCTCTAATTTTTTTAATAGTTGCAACAAGTAGATGAGTATTAGAAAACTCATTACATATGAGCGTAATTGCTTCAATAAAATTCGAGAAGACATTGACTCTGTTAAACTTTTCTACCCAACAAAAATTGAGTCCTTCAAGGATGCCCATAAGTTCGGCTACCGTGCTGGGATGGTAACCAAGAAATTTAGTGAAGCCTTTGATCCAATTGTCATGGTCATCTCGAATGAGACCACTACAAGAAGCTGCTTCTTAATTGTTGACAGAGCCATCTATATTAAGTCTTACCCAATCTTTTTTAGAGGGAACCATTGGGCTTTTGTTCTATCACCCATTTGAGTCAAAAAGTTGATTCTAGATTGAAGGTATTGATCATTAAGAATATCTTGTATACTGGTGGAGGCAATATCTCTCTCATAGGTATTATCTTTAGAGTAAATGATTTTACATCTCTCTTTTCAAATATTCCAATACACGTGAGCGAAGAGCTTTTGCCAAGAGATATTACGTGATCTTGCATTACCGCTTCTCTTTTTACATTCCAGAGAATCTACTCCTATACAGATACAGAAAAGAAAGTGTTTAGTTCAGTTTGTTTTACTAGTTTTAACCAAACCTCTTTAAATCTTTTACAATCTCTCAAGAATGAGTGGTGGAATCCAAAGAATTACAACCAAAAGGGCAAGTTTTAAGAGAAGGAATATTTCCATTAAAACATGAGAATTCAGGTTGAAGTCGATCCCAAGCTACTTTTCAAAGAAAGGATATGATCTTTTCATAAGTTGGCCACTTCCAAATCTTAGACCAAATTTTAGAGCCAATGGTGTCACAATGATTTTCAGTGGCCTTGTAAGTAGTTTTGATAGAGAAGTTGCCATCATTTGAAAGTCTGCAACATATAGCATCATCATCTGCATTAAAGTTAGGAGGCTAAACAATAGTGATAAATTTGATGACTTTTGGATGAAGATATCTGCGTAATTGGCCTACTTTCCAGGTACCATTATTATCACAAAAATCAAAGACTTTAGCATGAAGGATGGAGTCTACATTAGATGAAGCATATTTGATAAGGGGATCTGGAAGGAGACACCATTTGTCATACCAGAAAGAAACTTGATCCCTTCTTCCTACCTTCCATCCCACGTGAGTAATGAATTATTCCCAGACTTTACAAATACTGGACCATGTGTAAAAGTTAGAGTTGGTTTTTCAAACCATGGGAATGATAGGATTATTGCATTTGTATTTATCATGCAAGATATGAACCTAGAGACAACTGGGCTTCTTTATAATTCCCTAGTAAAGTTTCATAATATAGGCCCTATTTTGACTTTTAAGCCTTTTGAACCCAAGACCTCCTTGGTTTTTGTTTTCCATGATCAAGTCCCAAAATAGTAGACGAGGCTTTTTGTCCCATCAGTAAAGTCCTAAAGGAAGTTGCGAGAGTGAGGTTCCATTTCAACCAGGACATTATTAGGTAAGAGCATAGTTTGCATGGCATAACTGGAAATAAAAGATATATTAGACTTTATAACAATGGCTTTCCTAGTATTATTAAGATAGCGGCTTTTCTAGTTGGTTAGGCGAGACTTGATTCTGTCAAGCAGAGGAGCAAAATTGAGTTTTGAAACTCTTTCATGGATAATAAGAATCCCGAAATATTTGCTAAGATTTTCAGTTAAGGGAATTCTTAATTCCTCGCTGATCTGTAAGGTTCTATTAATGTTGACGTTCTTAGAGTGGTAGAGCTTGGATTTGGCAAATTAATATTTTGTCCCAAAGCTTTACAAAAATTGGAGAGACATTGTTGGATAATCCTAACTTGATCAAGAGAAGAATATGTAAAAAGCCACAGGTCATTAGCAAAAAATAGATGTGAAATTGGGGGACCGTTAGTTGTTAATCTAATAGGTCTCCAATCTCCCTTATCAATGCTATTAATAATGCTATGATTTAATCGCTCAATACAAACAATGCATTTTAAGTTTCTTAGGAATTCAAAAAGTAAGAGAGAAAGAAAAGTAGAATCGATCGTGTACGTACTAGAGCTGTCCATGTGGACGGTGGAGACAGCAAAATGCTTTACATGAACAATGATAAGCTTGAAGATCGTTGGCATGAAAAACTAACGTAGTGACTGAGAGTCTATTTGAGAGCATACAAGCTGTGCTCGCCATCGTTAGTGACAACTAGCATCACTTTCTTTGCTATCGCCATGGAAGCAATGATATAGCGAGTGTTTGGGTCTTTTTATACAAAACCATAGTTTTATATGTTTGGAATTGATTATATAACATCCAAACTGGGACTCTGCCATCCATGCTAAGTTACTTAAAAGTTTTTTTTCTTGAATACAAGGACATGAAAAATTTGTGTAAAAGTTGAGCAAAATCGGGTCATGTCAGATTCCATAAGAGATTTGCATCCTGAAGGCGGATGATTGTAAATAATAAGATCAAGATTATTCCGAAAGGCTAGGTGAGCGAGCATGCCCACACATCTATTTGCTTTCCTAAACATGTGTTCAAAGGTAATGATCCAATTTTTCATGATTAAAGTTCTAACTCTGTTGATAATTCTAGAGAGAAGATGGTTATTAGCGAAATTATGTTAGATAAGCGAGAATGCTTCCACAAAATCAGAGTATATTTCGATTTTGTCAAAATAGGCATTTTAACAAAGCTGTAATCCTTTTAAAATGCCTAATAGTTCTACTGTCGTGTTTGGATGATAATCGATGTATTTGAAAATTTTTTTAATCCAATTGCCTTTATCGTCTCGTATGATATAATTCCACCACAAGTAGTAGTTCCAATGGAGTTCACAGCCCCATCAATGTCAAGATAGATCCAGCTTATTTTTAGAGGTAAGTTACTTTACTTAAAAGTTATAGTAGAGACTCTCCGAGAGCATGAGAGAACCTCCTTTCCCCTATCTTTTTCAATCAAATTATTCTTTTACTTCTATACAAATTCAATTTTTGACCTGTATAAAAATTCCAATTGAATGATTTTCATTTGTAAAAAATTATTCTGTCAATTTTAATTTAACAATTTCTCCCTTGAAACATCATACATTTTAATACATACATACATACATGAATAGAAACACACACAAATCCTCCATCACATAACTACGCATTTATTATGCAGAACAGAAGCGACTTTTTAAATCTGGTATGATAATTTAATTTTAAATGAAATTATAACATGATGAAAATAAACTTAAACAAATTTAAAAACAATAAAACGAGAAATTTTTGGAAATTTATTTTACAAATTACAATCTGATTTATTCTTACAATTTGAAATTTGAAAACGACTCATGGCAACCCAAAATAAAAAGGACTCACTTTTCGTAAGATTTTCTTTCTAAAATTTCCAGAGAATCCTACTAATTATTCAGTTTCCGGCAAGACTTTCAATCAACTTGCCAATCTAAAGTAATATGCCAACAAAGCTTATCCATGTAGAATGAGGTCATCATACTCATTACATTAATACAATTAGGTAAATCTCCTGAAATCTAATGAATAAATTGCAGGATTCACAATTTATATACAATCAAAATATGATAATAATTATTTTGACGTAAATATTGATTTCATGCACATTAATAAAATTTCAATATACTATTTTGATAGAAAGGTTAAGAAGCAGCTTATGAGATTTTTCAGTTTAAAATAGCAATAATAAAAGCTTCTATTCCTCTGTCGCTCACAACGCCCATGAAGGGATGAACTACTACACATTCACTCGGCAGAGCACTGTCATTTTTTCGCATTATTGCTAAAAGAAAATAGGCCATCAACATTGGAGGAAGTTAAAAACAAAGCACATATAACATGCATGAATGCCAATTCGATCAAAATAACAATTTCACAACTTATTCTGAAAGTCAGAACAGCCATTAATCACTAGCACTAGTGATGTCCGCCCACACTTTCACCCTCCTGACCCTGCCGGGCAGCAGCTCGTAGTTTACGCTGCTCCTCCTTGTAAATCCGATTTCTTCGTTGAAACTGGAGTTAAGAAACAGAGATGCAATAAAATCATGAGTATAAACAATTCATAAAATGCTAGGAAGCTTGCTTTTTTTGAAAAATGTGTGTATGTGTTTGTTTTACCATTATTGCCAAGTAGCTATATTATTAGCCAATTAAACCATTACAAATAATAAACTTTCTCTCCTGATTTTTTTCCCTCTAATGAATGCTCTAAGAATATCGAGATATATGCATCTATTGTCAGAGCAACACTAGTGTTGTGGATATAAGCTTGATAAATTGAATTTGATAGGCCACCCAAAGTTGAAAATTTTTAAAAGCTTGAAGCATAAATAAAAATACAAGCTTGACAAAATAAGACAATTGGCTTTAACCACTTGACAGCGTCAAGAGAAGAACAATTTCAAATTTGTCATTTTCTACAACTACAAGTGCCTCGGTCTATCATATACCATTATATAGTTTTCATATTTGTGTCATGCAGGATATCTGAGTGGTAATAACATATTTAATTTTTAATCAGAAGTTTATAAATCACACACAATACTATATATAAGAGGAGTTCAACAATCCATATGAAAGTACCTAAGCACTGATTATATCATTAAACAGTATGATATGTTAAATTGGAGCATACAAAGAAGTAGGACTGGGCACAGAGGCAATGGAAGAATTCAATCTCCAACATGTCAAGTTGAAAAAAACAAAACAAAACAAAACAAGTCGTAATATGGCTGTCAATGAAAGGTATCATATGTCTCAGCTCCAAACAGTTATGCCTAGGAGGTAAACTATATGAAAAAACATAAGGACCTAGGACAATTTTAAGCAATTCAGCCAATAATTGATAGCCCATAACTCATTCACCTTTAATACATAAGTTCAGCCATAGGATAATGAATGTGCCACAAAATGATGGGTTTAAATAAGTATTTTAGTCTCAAGTTTCTTTATTATTTCAATTTGATCTCGCGAAAATATGCTTCTAATTCATAACATATATATCATAACTCATACGCCATCAACTCCATTTATTAAATTTACTGACACACAAGATGTTAGATGAGCGCCATTATACATGCCTACAAGGTTGACTGTCTAGAATACATATGACACGCATTAGAAATTAAAAGGACCAATGTGACACAAGCAAGCTTAAGGGAGCAAATAAAATGATAAATAAACTAAAAGGGACCAACTTACTGATCATAAGAAAGGCTGCAACTAAGGATTTCAAAGCAAACACCGTTAAATGTAAATAGATGGCAATGAAAAGAAGCATTTCAAACTCAAAACACCCCGTCCAAATTGTTTTCAAACATATATGTCATGATATAAGGATTTTTTAATTCCACCCCCCCCAAACCAAAAAAACCAAGTGGAACTAAAAGATCTGCAAATTATTGTTAAAGTTCAACATTATCCCGGATTTAGATTCAGTTCTCTCAATTACAGCCCTCAGATTTTATTAGTAGTTGAAAATTATCAAGATACATTTTCCTTCAAAAATTCAAAAAAATCCTCATGATTATAACACTCCTTATATATGCTGTCTCATCCAAAAATTTGAAATTTGATCCTTTTTTGGTATTATATGACAAAATCTTTGACAGCCATTCGATTAAATCAAACAATAGCCATTCAATTAAATCAAACAATTATTATCGTACCACATAAGACACTCATTAAATGGGTGGACTTAGGCTACTCAACGAGTCTAAATGCCATTATCCCAAAACTGAGAATCAGGGCTTCCAGATAAAGGATCAGTAAATTGCTGTTAAAGTTCAACATCATCCCACAACAGAGTACAAATAAGAAGATACAGCAAACAAAGTTTTCCCCCACATAAGATGGAAGTTGAGATTGATCCCTTATCACTACACATGCATCAATTTTTAACTGCACTGCTAGCTCCTTGGCCAATGGCAACGGAGTGAAAGGACTAAGGAGCTTAGCATATCAATAATAAGTTATAGTCTACAGTCTATTTTTTCTTGTATATTTCAGTAGTAGTTTAATATCATAATTTTTGTCTTGGTTATACGGTCTCCATATATTATGTAGTGCCGGGCAAGGTATTGTCTCATTCATTTTAAACACGATTTGACTAAGGAATTCAGGGTATAGAAGAATTTTTATTTTTTTTTGGCCAACAGGGTCTATAAGATATAAAGTCTACCATTTTCGTTGATACTATGCTTCTTCGAGTGGAAGTCAAGGAATTCTTATTCGAGAAAACTATCTCTTTTGACATTTTTCAACAGTTTTAAGACCCAGAGCCAAACATAGCAGGTATTTACATTATCCAAGCCAATGCATAAAACCCACATGTAACTAATTCCAGTAAAAAACACGTATATGACGTCAATCGCTACGATAATGCAATGAGTGCATCAATGACAGGAGTGAATCGTAATCAATCAAGATCCTCTCCAGCGGCGACGAAAATCGATGGGGTTAGTAAGGATTTTTAAACAGCAATTAGGGTTTCGGGAACCACCGAAATTAGTTGATGTTGAGTAATGCTACTTTACGCAGTTAATCAATCTGACGGAAAAATGCGTTAGCTTGTGCAAGAATAGGAGATGGGCAGGTTGACCTCTTTAGAATGGTGGAGGCACTCGAGGTAGTCTTCACGGAGAAGAGCGCAGTCCTTGGGTTCTCGGCAGCGAGACATGCACTCGCTGAAGTCGATCCAGAAATCATAGCAGCGACCTTTGTTCCCAGTAATTCCCCATCCTGATGCCATCTCGGTCTCCTTCTGAGAGAGTATCAGCTCTCGCTGTAGTCTGTAGATTACTGATTTCCACGGCCGAACGATAATCGAAGTGATTCGCGGTTCGGAGTTCAGAGTTCAGACCCGCTGACGTGTAGACGAGATTGCCAAAATGCGAGTTTGTACCGAGGCTCGTGGATAGGTGGTTAAAACTTAAAGACGGAGTATTCATATGTGACTATACATCGTCGATTCTGTACTCGTATTAAGAAAAAAACAAAAGAAAGAAAGAAAAAAGAAATACTTCGTCCATTCCAATACAACATATTATTCTCGAATGGTCCAAGTCCAGGGTCAATCACACAAGTAAGATTTAGAAGAAACTAGATTTTTAGTCCATGCAATGCGGAACATTAATCCCCTAATTCAAGAGATATGAAGGGGAATGAATTTTTTTTAATAAATTCATTTTTCTATTAAAAAAAAAGACAGTTAATTTGTAACTCTGTGTTTGTTAAAAACATTTTTTTAACATTATTATGTCTTGACTATTATTTCAACGATTTTTTTAACATGTTTCTCTAAGTGAAAATTGAAGAACATGTATTTATTTATTTTTATTATGGGTCATTATTAACTACTTCATGTTTTCATTACTCATTCTGGACCAAAGTATAGGATATAGATAGCTAATTTATGTTTTTTTAAATATTATTTAAAATTTAAATTTCTTAAAAAATTTACATTTTCACAATTTTAATTTCATTAAATATCTTATATAAATGCTTTGATAATAATAATTAAAATTTTAATACATTATTTTTAAAAAAAAGTAATAAAAAAAGTAGGAATATGATTGAAAAAAATAATTATAAAAGTAGCCCAATGCTATATGTTTTGAATTAAATAAAATTTTTAAAATATACCCTGTGTTATAATCTGAAGAGAGTAAAACTTAGTTAAAACTTAATTTGATTAAAACTTCAGATATCTTTCAAACTTTATCTTCATTAAATGCAGAACCTTAATAATGAGATTGCTAATTCCCATTGACAAACTACAATGCTTGTGCAGTAAAAAGAGGATTGAATCATTTCCTTTCAGCATTTTCCAATAAAAGTATGTTAATAGTTAAAGTCTCAGAGTATAACAATGCTTACTCTCTCGGTGCCTATAAATAATATATTTTTAATTAAATCACATTAATTAATAAAAATTGATAATCTAATTAAAAGTATAGTAATATTTTAATTTTATCTCTAATTATTATAAATAAAAAATAATTTTTTTAAAAAAATAAATTAACGAGAGTACTTTTCTTTTTTCTTTTCAATTTAATAATAGTATAATGGTCTATTTATTAAAAAAATATGCTAATAACATCTTATATTTAGGGACAAAAAATTGTAGAAGATCTCTTATATATAGGGACAAAGAAAGTATCTTCTTAATTATAAGCCTAGCAGTTAGAATTAAATATACACTCTTAATTTTATACATACTTTCAATGTATATTTAATTATTATTTAATTTACAGTTAGAAAATTAATCAGGTTCTAATACTTTCTTCGTTACTTTTTCATTGACTATTATTTAAATTTATATTAAGAAGTTCAGCATTAAAAAAAATTCTTATTTAGTAGTTTATTTGATTTTTAACTACATAGCTATAAAAATGGGGGAATTTATTCAAGATTACATTAGAAAGTCAATATTATTGGTGAATTTGTGAATAGAACTGATGGAAAATGTCATATTTTTTTAAGAGAAAATAGTGGTGTGAACATAAAAAAAAAGAGTAAATTGAATTATACCTTCCAAAAAAAACCTATTAACCATAATTAAAATAAATGGAATTTTTTTTCTTACACCAACATACATTATATATTTGGAATTCATTCCCCCCCACCCTTTTTTATGTTCATGAATTAGATAATTATTGACATCGTTACAATTTTGTGATGGAGAAAATTTCATTAAACCCTCCTGACCAAATTTGTTTATAGTCAACTCCATAAAACTCTGAAATTAAGTTTTTGAGAAAAATGATACAAATAATCCCAATTCCCTTGAATAAACATAACCGACATGGGAAAAATAAATAATTGATATATATAAAATGAACAATTAATGCAGAAAAAATTTGTAACTCTTATTAATAACATAACACTGTTATGAATAAAAGTAAATAAAGCAAGATGCATGAACAACTCATGTAAAAAAATGAACAATTAATGTGTGAAAAATAAATAACTGATGCAGGTAGAATTTGTATCTTTTATTAATAATATAATTCTGCTATGAATATAATCAAATAAGCTAAGCGCATGAATAATTCATGTAAAAAAATAAATAAGTGCTATACGAAAAATAAACAACTGACACAAGGAAATAAGGTTATTTGTATCATTTCTCTCGAAAACTTAATTTCAATAAGTTTGGTCAGGAGATTTAATGAATTTTTCCTGTTGTGAAACGATCATCATTAAATATTAAAAATTTAAATATATATTCATTGACATTATTTAAATTCTTTTAAATAATTTAAATTATATATATGCATGATTTATTTGGATATTTCTTGACAAATTTTGTATGATTTTTTTTTTTTGGTATTTCTACTATCGAGTTATTAATTCTAAGGATTTTAATTGAAATAATGTAATGAAAAAAAATCAAATATTGAAACTTAATAACTCAAGTATGTTTATAATTGGACTTTATTTAAACATTGGTTTATTGATACATATATACTTTAACAAAATTATTTGACACTGCTGATTAGAATTAGAATTAATATAGTAATTTGAGCCGGGATTCAGGCTAGTTTTGTTATAAAATAATAATTTAGTGAATTTAATAAATCAATAAAAGTCGAGCCCTGCGTATCCGTACCAAACGGCCGGTCGTGACTCGGGAGAATTTGGGAGACCCGCGCGGAGACTGACGGCATAACATAATACTTCCACGAACTCTTTTCCGGCCGAGTAACGTGCTAGCGAAGAATGGGCGAAAAACAACAACGTGCTAGCGAAGGATCGAGGAGAGGGATCACACACAACTACGCGTAGGCTCTCCACTTTTCTACCAGCGCTGTGATTGGTTTAGCAAATAAACGGTCAAAAGTCAATTTAATTTCATTGACTTGGGTGAAGCTAGCTAGCAGAAGCGTTCTCCAGTCTCGAGCTCTTTTAACTCGACCTTTTGTTATTATGGCTCCAGCAGTGAAAATGACGGTTTCAGTCCCTTTGTCCTCAACAGCTACAGTACTATTCTGCATTCTCCGGAGATAAAACAAGCATGCCCACCTTTTCTTTCTACTCCGCACTACCCGTAAAGCTTTTCTCGAGAGCGTATCGTGTGACGGCGAAGGCTTCTTACAATGGCATCACCTCTGTCGTCTCCAACTTCTTCGTGCTCTTCCCCATTCTCCGCTGAATTCTCCTCTCTTCCCATAATGTCCCTCAGAACAAAGATTGTCGAAAAGATTCTAGAAAATCGCGTCACCCTCATTGTTGGGGAGACTGGCTGCGGTATGTTTTTGCTTCACTTGCGTGAGTGCATTTGGTGGTCTTCTACTCCATCGCGTTTCGGTTTAACCGCGTTGATTAGATGGGAGAAACTCTTGGTGCTAGTATGAAAGAGGAAAATTAATATCTCTCTTTTTTTCAGTAAGAAGTCAAGGAAAAATAATGCTTGCACTATTCTTTTAGTATTCTTGCTGGTTAATGCATCTTATGCTTTTTAACGTTACGTCTTGGACGTTTTATCTGTGCGATCGTCCTTTCTGGTCATGTGAAGTCACATTGTTCGGTGTTACTGAAAGAAGCTTGGTCATTTCTCATTGACTTTAAAACTCATTGAGAAGGTAGTGATGTTTTTACTATTACGTTCTTAAGCCTGTCAATTGCAATATTTATTGGATTTCATGGATGTATACATTTATTTATTATGCCTTTTTTAATCATGGCTTCATCACATTTGTGCTCTTTGAGATGCTAGACTGATGGAATGATGCTTGATTTCTGAACTATTTCCTAAACGTGACTATCAAGTGAATAAATTATGTATATTGAAAGTTGCAATTACAAATAACAAATTTAACTTCAGTGTACTGTAGTTTTTAAGTGTATATGCAATCTATTCTGTTTCGAGTTGCCATTTTTTCTACATGGATTTGATGTTTCACTATAGATTATTGCACATTAATGTTATATTTTCTCTTGTCAAATCATTTCTCTCATAATTTTTTTGACTGATTCTTCACAGTAACCGATTGGAGAAATATAGCGGTATGGTATTTAGCAAAATTTTTGCTGGAACCTAATCAGACATAAAAGATGTAGAATGCAAGATGTACTGATTCAAAAGACCTTCTGTTAAGAGGAATATATTCTACTTAATAGTAGTTGTTTATTCTTTTGATGTTGCTGACACTGCTCCTTTATTATCTCCTAAGGAAAAAGTTCACAGGTTCCGCAGTTTCTTTTGGAAGAAAACATGGCACCCATCCTATGTACACAGCCTAGGAGATTCGCTGTTGTCACTGTTGCTAAAATGGTTGCAAAAGCTCGTAATTGTGACTTGGGAGGAGAAGTTGGATATCACATCGGACATTCAAGGCACTTCTCAGAAAGGTAATCCACATGTATAGCTAGCAAACCAGCTTCCTTTTGGTTTTAGGCTTTCAACTTTTTGTTGAATGTGATTGTCGTTCGCTTATTTGATTGTTCTTTTCTGGTTGCAAAGGCATGAGATAATTGTTTGAGATATATTTTGACGAAATTGTTAGACAAGATGACAAGGAGTTTTGTATTTTTGTCTATTTGCCTGAAAACAGTGCGCAATAATCTTATTTCCCAGAGACCGTTGTTGTATATTTGTAGATGCAGTTGAAAGAATAAAATGACTTTATTACCTATATATATCATACTGACAATTATGCTTTTTCTTACAAAAATATAGCATTACTTTTTGACACATATGGTGTGACAAAATCTCACATGTTCATAGGAATGCCATTTTGTTGAAGAGACGTGGTTCTCGTGTGTGTGTGTGTGTGATATTCCTATAATTATATTGTTTTGGTTGCAGCTGAATCTTGTGCACCTATGTTTCCACATGCATTTCTTACGTGACACTGCAGGTCAAAGATTGTATTTAAAACTGCCGGAGTGTTGCTGGATGAATTGCGAGAGAAGGGCTTGACTGCGCTAAAGTACAAGGTTATTATTCTTGATGAAGTTCATGAGAGGTCTGTGGAGTCTGATCTTGTTCTTGTCTGTGTGAAGCAGTTTTTGTTAAAGAACAAAGATCTGAGGTAAACGTCTGAGTTTCATAGTTTGTGTTCCATGGGCTTTTTTTATTATTAACATGAAGACAATAATTCGGTGTTTATCTTTGAATATGTTGAGACTTTATGTGTGTTGTGAATGAGCCGAGAAACTCTTGTATATACATCTTAGGTATGTATGAGAATATATACAGGAGAGAAAGCAATCATATCTCCGAGAATAATGGAGATTGATTCAGAGGAGGAGAACTAGGAAATAAATCTCGTAAAAGCCTCCTACTCTTAACTACCCGGTATCTCACATAATAATAACAGTTTTGAATATAATAAATACTAGGTCTAACCACAATGTGCCCCACATATTATTAATTGTATTTACTATTTAGTGTCTTCCTTTTTTGTCAGAGAAGTTTTATAGTTGTAAACTTGTACTAATATTAAGAGGTGAGTATATGTTTTGATGTGTAAAGATATCAAAACTATATTGGAGTGACCGATTAATTCTTTGGGCCATTTGAGTGTAAGCTTGAAGATGCAAATCTCAATGTTAAATAACATCGAGGAATTGTGTTGATTTAATGTCTAATATTCATTCTGTGTATAATAATGTTAAGTCATTGGACCTTGAAATTTATTTGTAAGGCTGTGATCGCTTTAAAGATGAGCTGGGGGAAGAGAGTGGTAATTTTTTGAGCCTGCAACAAAACCCAATTGGTGGATATTTTACCACCTAATCGCATGGTTCTCATGGACAAGTCGGGCCTAGAAATGTTCCTGATAAATGATAACATCCTATACTGCCACTCTGGACTTGATTAGAACCATTTTTTTTCTCATTTGCATGTCCCATTCAATTCAAATAGTTGGCATGAGGATCTAGTATCTAATATCCTAAAAATTTTCAGGGTTGTTTTGATGTCTGCAACTGCGGATATTTCAAGATACAGGGAGTACTTTAGGGACCTTGGTAGAGGTGACCGAGTTGAAGTTCTTGCAATCCCCAGCTCCAATCAGAAAACTATTTTCCAGTGCAGTGTTGCATACCTTGAGCAGGTAAGCATATGGATTCCATTAGAATATTTTTGAGTTTAAAATTGCATTAGTAGATTAACTAATCTACATTTTTGTATATCTTCTCTGACCTAGACTATTGCAATGGCTTTAAGTTTATGGTTACCATGGGAACATTTTGAAAAAAGTGAACATTTTAAACATTCTGGATTCATTTGATTTCTTATATCCTGCATGTAAACCAAATTCTCCTGGCTAAAATTTCCTGCATTACTAAAACATGAGAGTTACTGCATCAATGATGGACTTGTTATTCTACTTATAACTGCATCGTACATAAGTGTATGATCAACAGTATTTTAAACGAGAAAAACATTAAGCACCTAAAGTTTCTGGCATCTGTAAGTTGTTTGGGGCAGTTTTAGATTTTGACTGGTGAATATTGTCCCTTATGGTGGGAATAGATTATATAATGGAGTATAAAGAAGGTAAATGAATTTAGAACACTTCTTATGGCTTGTTCTGATAAGAAGCTGGAGAGTGGAGGCCATACCTAGATCAAAATTTTCCAACAAAATCGAAATTGACAAAAATATTCAGGAGTGCTATTGTACTTGTTAAGAAAAATAAGTTTTTCCCCTGTCATAGATCATTATGCAAGATGTGACTGCTCTCTGCTGATGCACATTTGTTAATTATCTTTCTGAATCACATTTCATGAATAGGATGTCTGTGATGATAGTGTTAACATTCTTGACACAGGTAGCTAACTCTCTTGGGATAAGTTCTGAATTGGTGCAGTCCATATATCCTGGTCCAGATGCTTCCACGGCAAAAGCTTACATTAAGTCTGAATTGCACAAACTCATTCATGATTTGGTGTTGCATATCCATGAGAATGAACCAGATATTGAGAAAAGCATTCTGGTATTCCTTCCAACCTACTATTCACTGGAGCAGCAATGGCGCCTAATGAAGCCTCTTGAGTCAACTTTCAAAGTCCATATCTTACATAGTAGCATCGACACTGAACAAGCTCTAATGGCCATGAAGATTTCAAAATCTCATCGTAAGGTACTTGTTTGTTATTAATTAAGCTATTTGTGGTGTCATTAGTAGGATTTTTTAAACTAAGAAGGGATAGCATCATAGCTTAGTCTTATTAACTAAGTTATTACTGATTAGAGCGTCAATAAAAAATTTTGTATAAACAGATAGTAAATTTATTTCTTTGTTAATTGTAATTAAGATTTGGCAAGTTGGATGCATCTAGTTGGTGAAATCTTTTTGTAACTTTTATATCACGAGTTATACGTCACAACAATCAGTTCAACTTCCTAAACCATCCAATATGAGTTGTCTAGTGGAATTTTGCTTGCTTACATTTATAGACAACGGGTTATTACTTGATTTCTATTCATGTAATTCGTCCACAATATGGTTTCTCGTTTGTCTCCAGAAGTTTTCAGATATTTAAGTAGCTATTCACATAATGGAAGTAGCTTGAAAGAAATCCTTCTCTGATAATTTGTGGCTGCTAGGGAAATTTTACCAAGTGATTTTTCTCATAAAAAAATATTCATGATATGCTTTTTATGCGATCTGATAAAAGATTATTTTGTTAGGTAATTTTGGCCACCAATATTGCTGAATCATCTGTGACAATACCTAAAGTGGCTTTTGTTATTGATTCATGCCGATCCTTACAAGTCTATTGGAATAAGTGCCTTAAAAAGGAAGCTACAGAACTTGTTTGGGTTTCAAAGTCTCAGGTAAATGTGATCTTATTGCCCTGCAGTGACTTGATTAATTATTTCATTATTCTTAATTTCCTGAGGCCTTGTAGGCTGAGCAGCGTAAGGGGAGAACTGGTCGAACTTGTGATGGTAAAGTTTATAGGTTGGTTACTAGGTCATTTTTCAATGGGCTTGAGGATCATGAACACCCTGCTATTCTAAAATTATCCTTGAGGCTTCAAGTCCTGTTGATCTGCTGTGCTGAATCTAAAGCTATAAATGATCCCAAGAGTAAGTTTGATCTCTCTTCATCATTACAATTATGATTTATACTGAAGAGGCAGAATTAGTGGATCAATATCTGCCTACTTTAGAACTGAAGGAGCATCATCTGAAATTTGTCAGTGTTTAAAGATAGTTTAAATTTAACTTAATGTTGACTGGTGCGCATGGGATGGCCTTGGGTTGCTTGACTTTCCCTCACGATGAGAGGAATCTTGTGAATATTGAGATAATAAAGTGTACTATAATGAGCTTGTTTAGTCTTGGGCTCTAGCACATTGTCCTGACTGATGGATTTCATGCCAGCATTGTTGCGAAAAGCTTTGGATACCCCTGATACTCAAGTTGTTGAAGATGCACTGGATTTGCTTGTTCAGATGCATGCACTGAGAAAGACACCTCCTAGGGGCCGTTACAAGCCTACATTCTATGGACGGTTACTTGCTAGTTTTTCGTTGTCTTTTGATTCTTCTGTTCTAGTGCTTAAGTTTGGAGAAATAGGCATGTTGCGTGAAGGCATCTTACTGGGTATAATGATGGACACGAGCCCTCTACCCATTCTTCATCCATTTGGAGAGGAAGCTTTGGTAATATCTATCAGCTGAATGAGCTTTATAATTTTCTGCTACACCTGATTGCTTGCAAATGACTATCTGCCTCTGTTCATCCTCTAATTGAATGTTTTTAATTTTATCAGTTTGCAAAGTACATTGAATGCTTCTATGGTGAAAAGACTATCTTAAATGCTCGAAAGGAGAGGGAATTCATGGGTAACTACTGTGCTTTTCAGTTTTGGCAGCATGTTTTCAAGGTACATTCTCTGTTAATTATGCTTATAAATTCCAAATATGTTAGCATTATTCAGCATGTGCAAATAATTTCCCCTGATTTAGAGGGCTGCTTCTATATGGCTCTTCCTTGTTAGGGTTTCACAAGGGTCACACCCTCCAAAGTGGCTTCAAGCAGCCATTTACTAGGCTTTGCCTTTTTATGTTTCTGTCATGATGCTTAAGCTTTAAAGTTCATTGGCAAAGTTTCTCTCTCATTTGCAGGATGCATGTAATGCCAAGCATTTGATGCAAGTTCTGAAGACTGATGAGGTAAACCCGGCCACACTCCTGAATGAACTAATGCCTGAGCTTGAACAAGAATGGTGTTCTTTCCATTATCTTTTGCGGTCATCACTACATCAGGTGTCGGAAATTTGTATGTATCTAGGCTATTATTATCTCAAAATACACTCTCTGGGAATTTTTCTAATATAAAAAAATGTTTGTTTTTAGTGGTCCTTTAAATATTCTTGCGGTCTAATTTTCACAGATGAGGGTATACTAAATTCAGTCCATCGGTTTCGGCCTGAATTTTTGAGCACATCTAATGCCCTGCCATGTTCTACGGATTATTATCAATTCAAACACACATGCCATCTTGAATATCAGCCAAATGAGCATGCAGATGTAATTGCTGCAAATGAAGGCCTTGCACCATCACACAAATCAAAGGAATGCATGGCAATACCGTTTGTTGATCCAAGCAACTTTTACATGATTGATGTGGCAAAGAAGTTTGCTACTATTATCAAAGAGGTATCATCCTTTGGAGTTATCCTTCTTGTGACGATTGACTCTCAGTTTATATAAAGTGGTTCGGTGTATTTTCTTGTCCTTTATCAAACAGATCAGGGCTCAATATGCAGAGGATGCTTCTGGCCATCAACAGGAAAATGTGGATGTTGATGATTATAGTGTTAACGCGCAGGCTCCTCTTTGTGTATTTTTCATTAATGGGTCATGTAGCAGAGGCAGTAGTTGTTTATTTTCTCACTCGTTACAAGCTAAGAGGTCCCAGTGCAAATTCTTCTTTTCCTTGCAGGTATTTAATTTAGATGATTTTGACTTCATGGTGACATTAGTTTTTAGTACGATTCTGATTATCATTTATTATAGGGGTGTAGAAATGGAGAATCTTGTAACTTTTCACATGATGTGGGTGATTCAGCGCTATCATTTACGCCATACTACTGCCTGCCAGAAGATAATGGCGTGAATGCTGCATCCCTTCTTGACTTGTTTCCGGCATCTTCGAACAGATCCATTCTTATACTGAATGACACTGATTTACATTTCACCTCTCATCTTGTTAGCTGCTATGATCCATCCAAAATAATTTCTTCATCATGCTTGTCAGAAATAACCATATGCGAACCATCATTGTCAGGAGTCAGAATTTTATGGGGTCTATGTCACCCATATGAGACAATTATTGCCAAAGAAGGCCAGAACCCTATACCCTGGAAGGAAGTTGAATGCGTGCTATGGTTTCCTAGTTTTGATAGTTTCGGTGAAGATTTGGATGGACAGAAACATCTCTTACAAAACTTCTTTGAGTATCTGGCCGTTCGAATTTTGGCTGATGAACTGCACGAGGTTCAGGTTATCATAACCATGAACAACCTCAGATTTTCCCGACTTCAGGTGATTGTCTGGGCTTTATATATTAGCTCCTCTCTCTATTACTGTCCAAATGGGTTACAAAATAAGGGCTGTTATTGATGCGACCTATCTCTTTGATGGCTGCGATTGAAGCAGCCAATAGGTTATCTAACGGAATGCTCGTTATTGCAGGTAGAAAAGTTGGGAAGAGACTGTTTTTTCTTCCTTAAAGAATCATTTGCTTTTGACGAAATCAGCTTTGGGGCAGTACATGACACCGTTACCACTAGGAAGCCAATGCTGGTATCAAGGCCCATATCATATGTTTTTGTTCTACGCCGTCCTACAGATCGTCGCTTTGGTGATTACATAGCTACTCTTAAGAAGCATCTGAAGGAAATTCAGAAAAACTAGGCATGGGCTAAAGCATTTGCGAGGGTGAGCCTATCTGGAGGCCTGGTAAGTTCATTTGTGGATGTGGCTTTGTAAATTCATTTTGAAGATCTTTGTGAGTTGTGACCAAGGATATAACTTCAATCAATATCCTCACGTAGTTTTGCTATCTAACAGTCTCACATTACTTTGATTTATTACACACAAACATGCGCGTGTGCACCCACCTATGCATAGTACAGAAGACTTTCTATATATGTGATTCATAGTTTTATCATCGATGTATGTTTTTTGTCACAACAAAGTTTTAACATTTTTCCAATATATATATATATATATATATAATATTTCTTGTTTGTGACATCATTAAAAGAGGGTTTAGATGAGAATCATATCAAAAGATGACAAAGATCACGGTTACAATAATAGAGTATTGAAGAAATTTATTTAGACAGCATTAAAATTGCTCTTTTCTTTGTTGTTGTTATTTCTTTCACACACACTCACTCACTCACTCACTCAGATTTTCTAGAAGTAATTTTTGATCTAAAATACACGATACTTTGTAATAATTAAACTATTTTTTTTAATTTTATCTAAAATACAAGACACCTTGTAATAATTAAATTATTTTTTTTTAATTTTATCTCTTTTTGATTAGCATGAAAGTATTTAATATAGTTGTATTATTATTTAAAATTAAAAATAAAAATAAAATTATCTCTCACTTTTTTATGATATTAAAAACAACTAACCTTTTTAATATGCATGAAACAATTGAAAATGTTCTACAATAAGAATCGAAGGGAGTATATATATTTTGTTGTAATATGGGGGAATTGATTGTTATTAAAATTAAAATGAGACTTTTTTTTAATGAAAACTTATTCATTAAATTATATTGCTTCCTCTTTACAATCAAGTTAATATTTTGGAGTTTTTAATGAAGAAATTAATTGTTGTTAAAATAAAAATGAGATTTATTCATCAAATAACAATATTTTTTTCATCTCTACTATCAGGTCAATTTTTTAGAGTTGTTAATAAAAGAACTGATTGTTATTAAAATGAGAATGAAAAAAATTTTCCCCTCTTGAATGGGGACTGGTTAAGAGAGAGAGTATGTGTATGTGAGGAATAATTTTGTCTTTTCACAATAAATTTTTATTATATTTAAGTCCTTTAATCTTGCAAAGTAATATCAAAATTATTTTATTAGAGAAATAAATTTTGTCCAACAATCTATTTAACATATTAGTATTATCCAAAATTAAACATTTTAACGTTCTCCATAAATAAAAAATGGTAGTTCTAAATATTTTATTGTTAAATATATAAATTAATATTTATACTTTATCATATTTGTAATTCTCTAACATCGTCTAAATATTCAAACACATATTTCTTTTTCTAAATATTTAAATAGGTAAATATTAATTTAAATTTAAATTTCAATATATTTGTATATATATACTCAATCACATTGACCTATATTTTTGACATATCTTTAGAGTGGATGAAAATTTTAAATAGATAGATATTAATTTGAATTTAAATATGATGAGATTTGAATTTTAAATAGGTAAAAAATATTTTTTATAAGCATCTAAAAATTAATAAGTCATCTCACACTTAATTTCAAACATAAATAACATATTTTATATAAATTAAAAAATAATAATCAATTCAAACCTAACACCAAACTAAACTTGACTCTGAAGTATAGAATCGCAGAAAAGATATCCTATAATACAACATTGTAACAAATTTAAAAATAAATATGTAATATTCTCTCATAACTTTTAACCTTTGCACAATGATTATCATCATTTTTTTACTATGAAAATAAAACTAGATGAATTTATTGAAAGATTGAATTGATATTTAGATTGGGTTGACATGTTGGGGGAGGGGCATCTTCTTTTTCTTCTTTTTTCCTCCCTCCCCTCCCCCGAAAGAGGGTGTCATCATTTCTCTTCCCTTCATTTTCCTCCATTTCTCTCCCATCACCTTTGGATCAAAAATTTAATGGTTCAGATTGAGGCTTTAATAAAATTATTATTTTATTTTATAAAAAGGTGTATAAATAAATTTAAATTATTAAAGTTTAATCTAAATCATTTAAAGTTATAATATTTTATTTATATATTTTATATAAAATTAAAATAATAATTTTTTAAAAAATTAAATCTAAACCATTGAAAAAGTTTAATTCAAAGATGATGGGAGAGAAATGAAGAGAAATGGAGGCAAGAGAAATGGAGACACCCTCTTCCTCCTCCAATCCCATCATCTATATTATTTTATTAAATAATTTTTTAATTATAAAATTAACAAATAATGAGGATCGATGTAGTGGAGATTAAAAGAAAAGAAGATACCTCCTTTGAGGCATGTGGGCCTACACTCCAAGATTTCGTGTCCCCAGAATCTTTTCGTGCTTCGTGAAATATCGCTTCCGTATCTTAGGACTGTTTGGTTTTACCTTAACTAAAACGTGATTTGGATAAAATTCACTCTACAAACTTGGTTTTAAACAAAGTAAAAGTAAGTCAAAATTGAGATTGTTTAAAACTAATGTTGACCAAAAGCAAAAGTAAGCATTAAACTCATAAATGTAGCTGTAGTTTTGAACATTGTGGTGTTTGATAAATACTCTTTGTAAAACGTGGATTATATATACTTCAAAACCAAGATTTTGGCTTGAGCACCCAACTTGCTTTTCCAATAAGGTTAGTTTCCGGAGTGCCCCTGCAAGGAAACTAACGCAGTAAGACTGGTTTCGCTTGCAAAAGAAACTCCGATATAGTGTACAGTATCTCCGTCTCGATATCTTTGCATCTGCAGAACTCGATCAAACGTTAGAATTGAACCTGAATCCTAATTGTAATGATTAAATCCACCTCGCAATCGCGGAAGACTCTTGATTCACGGCACCCCATAGATTCCTGTATGTTGCAGCTTCATAGTTGGAGGCCCTTTCAATCACAAAGTACCCCTACCAAAATCCTAGACTCTGATTCCCACATTAATGCTAACCCTAGACCTTATTACTCCTCCTCCAATGGTATCCACACCAAGCGCCCCTGCCTTTCCGACCGCACCACCTCGTCTTTCTCTGTGGATGCTATTGATTTGTCCAAGCTGAGCTTGATCGACGACGATAAGCCGATTGCAGCTGGTCACTGTAGGAGTGGAAGCTACCGTTTAATAGCTCGCAAGAGGCGGCGCCGGGGGTCCAGGTCTGTATCGGGTCGGAGCAGCGATCGTAGCGGGACCCGTAGATGCTGCTCAGTTGGGGCTTCCGCAGCATATGGGACATGCTCTGATTTTCCGGTGGCGATGGGCACCGATTCGAGCGGGGAGTTGTTTGGAAATGGCGATGCGAATTGGTCATCGGATGTGAGTGAAGCAAAGAATTCGAGGAAGGACAGAGACAGGGAAGGTGGTAGTGGAGAAAAGGAGAATTTGGGTTTGGGATTTGGGCTAACTGGGTGTTCTGATGCTAATGGAAATGAGTCTGGGTATGGAAGTGAACCGGGTTATCGGGGAGATGCAGAGTTTGGTTATGGAGACGAGCTTGAAGAGGAAGAGGACGAAACACGATTATTGTTTTGGGGAGATCAATTTGGAGGTATATTTATCTCCTTTTCTTTTGGATTTGGATCCCTGAATCCCTTTACTCTGTTGCGACGTTTCTTTTCGTGCATGAGCTGCATTTTCCAAAATGTATACTTTTATGCTTAACCTTTGATCCTTTGTGATCCAAAACTTGTCCAGTGATGTGGTGTGAATGTGATCGTGAACTTGGCGCTTTGTTTGGGTGATATTTCAAGTGGTATGTGGTCGGAATGAGCTAAAGTGAGTTTGTTTATCGTCATAGTGGGATATGTTGCATATAGGCATGTAGCCTGGGCTTGGGGAATAGTTAATGCGACCTCCTTTTTTTAGGTCTGGTTACTGGAAAAATCATGAATCATTCGCAATTTGAGTTGACTCTGAATTTATCAATTTTACTTATTGATATGATACGGGGAGGGTACTTCCAAGCATGAAGCTTGGCTTTTCCCCATCATCATAGGTTTTTAAATTTTGATGAACCTTCTGATTATTTGTGTCTTATTGCTTAGTAATTCAGTAGGCATTTCCAATCTTTGATGGACCTAGTTCTGAAATTAAAAATGCATTACTTGAAGAGTTAAAAATCTGACATGAAAATGTAGTAGCAAAATTTAGGTTTGAAAAACCCTCTTGGCATTAATTCGGAAAAGGGACCAACCTGTTCATGTCTCTCAGCTGTTGCTCTGTTGGAAGCTGACCACAGGATCAAATTGTCTGTGAGTCAATGTATTGCAGTGTAGGCATATCCAGTATAGAGGCATGGATATGACCTTAACAGCTAGGCAAGGAGATTCATTATTGTGATTCATTTGTCAGCAATCGAGCATGGTAGAAGAAGGAAACAGGTGGCAAGTTAGATGTCTCTCTATTGAGTTTCTCAACAATTGTTGGGTCAATACTAATGCTAAATTGAGAGGCATGGTTTGGACATGCTAGATGATGCAACCCTTGGAAGTAAGGTTAAATAGGGAGTGGGATGTTCCACAAATCAGCATGGTGATTCTAAATGAATGGCTGGGTGTAATTTGTGACATTTTACCCACTTCAAATTCCTTAAGTGGTGACGCTTGTTGAGGGGGGGAATCATTGATGTTGCTCTAGCCAAAAAGAGGGATCTCTTACCACCACTCAAGAAGATCCCTCGTCTGGCTATTGATTGTTTAAGCTGAAATATGAATTAGAGGAAATCGTGCGAAGGAAGAGTGGAGCTTAACTATGACGGCTCTATGAAATCTAATGGCAAGGCATCAAACCATGGTAGAGTGCAACAACAACAAGCCTTATCCTACTAAGTGGGGTTGGCTATATGGATTACACAATGCCATTGTGCTTTACCTTCAACTAAGTTTTTATGAATATTGTTAATTAATAGGTTTTATTCAACAACTTTCATAAATATTTTCTTTGATCTTCTTCTACCTTTTTTATAGGTTTTAGAATTTTTGAATTTAATTTTCACCCATGATGAGTTGATCGGAATTTGGTATTATTGTGTGATTAATAGTCAAAAAAAGAAATGATCCTTCGTCATAGCAGCGATTATTCCAATCAGCATATTTTCTCCATAATGAGGCAAATTAATGTTGATTGGATCTTCTTTTTATGTGGATGCCTCCCTTAATTATAAATAGTGGTCAAAGGTTGGAGGTAGGATCATCCCGGAGGAAACAATTCTCTAATTTACTCTTCTTCTCATCCTCTTTTTCTTCAATGCATATGTTGTGCATTATAGTCTAGACTCTAGCGGTCTAAACTAGTATGGATAGTTGGGTAGACTCTTTTACACTTGGATCCGATGAAACTTTAACCTAACTTTTTTATTTGGCGTATTATTTATTTTCACATTCCTTCAATAAGGTTCAAAATCATCCGTTCCACTCTCCTTACTGGTGCCTCTTGTGACCTTTTTTGTATATGTGCAAATCATCTCAAATGAATTTTTACCATTTTCCTTTCAATAGATGTTATGTCCACTTTTTTTCATATATACTCATTTCGGATTTTATCTTTACATGTATGCTTGTACATTCATTTTAACATTCTCATCTTTGCTACTCAACTTCATGCTCGTAGTGTTCCTTTAAAGCCCAACAATCACTATTATATAATATAGTTGGTTTTATAACAGTTCAATAAAACTTTCCTTTAAATTTACTAAATGCATTTCAATAATAAATAACTCCTTTTAACTTTTTTCTAATTAAACCACCCAGCTTGTATTATATGTGCAAGATCACCATCAATTTTCCTATCATATTAAATAATAGCTCTCAAATGTCAAAATTTTTCTACTTGATGTATAATCTGATCTCTCAATTTCACTTTCAAATTACTACTTATTGATCTCTTTTTAAGATTATAATGCAAATTCTTCATCTTACTCCTACTTAGGTGGAAACCCTACGACTCTAAGGTCATCTTCTATAATTCAAGTTTGTAACTAACTTTGTCCCATGTTTGCAATAAGAATTATATCATTTGCAAAAAACATGTATTTGGAGATTTTTTCTTGAATGTGTTCAGTCAAAATATCTAGAATCAGGTCAAACAAACGAGGACTCAAAAATAACTCCTGATGTAGTGCAATACTTATAAGAATTTGTAATAACCGTGAGAGAATGGATAATGGGGTAATATAGGAATAAAGGAGATGCACGATATTCAAAGCTGAAATGTGTGAACTCTTGGACGGCTCAAGCGTGCTTGGTGTCAGATATAGATACATGGAGGTAGTTGAAGTTTCTTACTGATCATCTCACATGCACACCACCCCCTTACTCGGTCATTTCTTGTGACAAGTACCTTGTTGGGGAAGAATTGGCAATTGATTATTTAGCATATTCCAAGGGAATGTAATTGAGATGTGGATGCTCTAGCACGCAAAGGAGGGGATAGTTCATCATCCCTTACCATATTGACAGAGGTTCCACCTTTATTAGGAATCCTTGTTCTGAAAGGTTCTTGGGGGATCCTTGATCCCAACCATGTAAGCAATAGTGTGCAATCTGGGCTCGGCACTTCCTTTGTTTTTTTTTTTTCCTTTTGTTTTTTTGTGTTTTTTTTTTTTTTTGGGGGTGGGGTGGAGGCTTTAAGTTTTGGCTTTTAGGGCACTGTGATCTGATGGGAGTTGGGCCCAAGTAATCTAGTGGTGAAATTGTTTAGAGATAGCTTTCTATGGAAGTTTCAATCTAAAGTTGCTTGATGAATTTGAAGTGAAAATCTTTTTTTATCTGGCTTTGGGATGAGGGGAGGTCATATTGAAAAATGACACTGCAGTGCCGATGATGACATTGCTGGGAAGCAAAGAAATTCTTCAGTTCAATTTAATCACCAAGACAATGGGAGAATAGTGTAGTCTTCATAGGAGGGTGTCTGGTTCATTTGAGATTGACTTCATTATCAGCATCTAATGTTTTGGAATGTGTTCAATGGCATGCGTTGCTCGATTAAATGGACAGTTGTATTGCGGTGTTTCATATGGATTAGTTGTTATATGTTTCCTGAAAACGTCATTGAACCTCTGTTGTGCATACAGGCACACCCGCGCTTGACATGATCCTTAGTATCAAGTGAAACTAAAAATATTATAGGTCGAGTGTATTACATATTTGGATTCGTATATGATTTCTTTTTTAATTAATTTCACTCCTTGAGATACCCTTGTACGCAAATGGGAATACTCACAAAGAGGCCAAAGAATTATAAGATTCTGAAATTTCTTGACTACTTTTATGGTGTCAGACTTTCGCTTCATTTTTCATTTCAAATGAGTAAGGTTGTGATTTGGAGACTAACTTTGTAACCATTGCACCAGCTGTAGGTTCGAGAATGGAAATGGTTGGGGAGAACACCCTATTGGATCACAAGTTCCATCATAGATGCCGACGAAGGAAGCAAGATTGTAGAATGGTTGATGCACTGAAGTAAAATCCGTCCTGCTCTCACATTTGGCCAAAACAAGATACCGAGCACATCAGCAAATTGAGCAGGTGGCTCTGTGAGTGTGATACGGCTTTGCTAAATTGTGAGATCTGCTTGATTTCTTTTGACGAGTAAACAAAGTCTTAACTAGTTGACTGTAAACCATCATCACATATTGATATAAATTTAAATTATTTATCAATATTGATGTTTTTAATTTCTTTTGTTGTGTGATTATTGCCTTGAAAAATCCCTCCGTAGTTCTGCTTGTGCTCCGAGACCCCAAATGGTTTTGCCCAAAAGTCAAAAGTGCACCTGATTTGTATTACTTGTTTGCTTAATTGATAATAAGGTTGATAAAGTAGGCATATAGATTTGTGGGAAATTTCAAGATGTGAAAGTAAAACCATATTTGTTTCTTAAAAAAACAATCGTTGATTGTTAGTTTCATCAGGTCTTATTTTTAGTTTTTATGATTTTTTTTTCAATGTTTTCAGTCTTTGTAGTTTCAAAAAGATTAAATGACTTTTGTTTTTTAAGTTCATATAGTTTTTATTTTTTTCAGTGATTTTTAGTCCTTTAGCATTAGAAAAAATTATAGGGACTAAAAAATAAAATTTGATGAAATTATAGAGATCAAAGATTATGTTTTTTCTCTATGTTTTTGGCTTGACAGCTGAGGTCAGCCTTTTTATGGAGAGAGGATTTTTGCATTGCTGTCCGTACATTTCAAGGGGAAAAAAAAATATTATTATGCGTATGAAGAATTAAAAAAAAAATATCATAACTCTTGAAATATATATATATATATATATATATATTCATATCAAGACTTGGTATAATTTAACACAAATTTGTCCTGAGCACTTGCAGATAGAGTCAATAATCATTTGTGAAGTTGCCCAACTCGCATTTGGCAAAAAACTTTCAGGAGAAATATAGATGCATAAAATAAACTTGCATAGTAAATTCACAATAATTTATATTTGTTAATAAATACTAGCTATTAAAAAATCAAATTATGGACTTCTATTTCATAATTTCATTTATATTAGGCTTAAATGCTAGGATAAATAAGAAAGGAAACATATTGAGAAACTGATAATTTAGATTATAAAACATATCAGACATTAGGACATAACTATTAATATATGTCCGTTTACTTAAAAAGCGTGATATAAATATATACTAATTCTACATATATAATTATGTAGCATAACCAATAATGATTTATAATATTTAATTGGATTAATGGGCCAAAATGTTGAAATTTTCTTAAAAAAAACAGTCAATATTCTTACATTTTAAAAAGAGTAATATTGCTTTGAAAATATTAAAAATAGAGTAATGTTGTCCTTTCCTAATTTTTGACCAACGTTATCTAACGAAATTTTTTAACCAACCCTCCTCCCATAACTCTTTCTTCTCTCTTCCTCCAACCCTTCTGGACATTCCAATGGAGGAGGCATGGCTCGAGGATCTAGCCCTTTCCTAACCAAGCCATTTTTCAGTGCGCTCTATCAAAGATCATTCATCAGGGGCAACGCTCTCTCTTCCTCTTCCAAATCTCTTTTCACTGTTCTCTTAATTCCCCGAACACTGTTTCCTTGCTCAATTTAACACCGTGAATCATTCATTGATCTATGTTTGCTAACGGATCCTTCAAGAACTCGCTAGGGTTAGGTTTCTGCGATTGGGTTTGATCTTGTAATTCTGTTGTGGTGTTTGAAATTTTTGGATCAATTCACTTAGTGAGGCTTTTGTAATGTCTGTTGGATTTAGGAAATTGGAAAAAAAAAAAGAGAATGATAGAAAAGGCTCAAAATGATTAATTAATTCAAGTTAAGTCCTAAGTGTCAAACTTTAATAATTTATAATTCAATCTCTTAATTTTTCTGTTAAGATAAATTTACAATTTGTATTTCAAATTTTAATAAAAAAATAATTTTTTATTCTTCAATTATGTTAAAATTTAAAAAATAAATTATAAATTCATTACAATACAATGTAAAATTAAGAGATTGAGTTGTGAATTTTTAAAATTTAACACTTGAGACCTAACTTAAATTAATTAATTCTTTTTTGATCTCTTTGTCATTGTCCCAAAAAAAATTAAAAATTGTACTCTAAAAAAAAGATTAAAAAAAGATTGACGATTTGGGCTTTGATTTCTCTTCATGAGTTCTTATGCACATACATGATGATTGTGCAAATTTATTTCTCCATGTGCGGAACAGAGAGTAGCTTCACAATTTGGGGTTCAATTGCTCCAACAAGTTTCATGAGTATCTGATTAAACGGGGTTGTGATTCAATCGAGTGGGTGATTGTGATTAAATAGGTTTGGTTGTAGAAATTGGTGATTAGAGACGTTCGATTACTCCTTGTCAAGCCTATGATTGTAGAAATTGCTCATATGGTTTCTCATTCTCTTTCTTCTTCTTTGTCTTCTTTTGTCTCTTTTGCTACTTGCGGCCTTGTGGACTTGAATTACAAGAAGCTTGTGTTAAGCTAAAACTATTTCTATGTTATGATTATTTGTTTTGCTTCCTTGATTTCCATGTTATAATTATTTCTCCTTGCATTCTGAATTTTGAAGTAATTTTAGTTCTTTTTCTAGAGTTTTGATAAACTGATCTAATGTGTTTCTCTTCAAGAAAGATTCAATTCAAGCAAAAAGGTCTTGATTAAATTGTGGCTGATAAAGTAAGAGGCTAAAAGAGGAAGGAATTTGAAGAAAGATTGAAAGAGGTTTTTTAAATGTTGAGCTATGTCAGTTTTTAATATTCTTTTGATTAACTACTAGTCAAATGTTGGTTAAAGGTTAAGAGAGGGTAACATTGCTTTATTTTTAACACTTTTAAGGTAATATTGCTCTTTTTTTTTTTTTTAATACAACTGGCAAGCAAACGCTTGAGACAATGATCTAAAAGCTAAGTACTAGCTATAACCATTTGGCCACAAAAATGCTTAAAAGCCAAAACCAAATGCTTGCATCCATCAAGCACCTCAAAGGTGATTAATAAATAATAATTTTATATATTTTTATTCTTTTAATTTAGATTTTTAAATATTTATTTAAGGCTAATTGAGTTTAATTAGATATTATTTGATTTTATTAGTCAATATTTAGTTTTGAAATTTTAACTAACTAAATCTTTAATTTTAAAATATAAATAATATCTTTAATATTTTCGCATAGGTGCTATTTAATTTTATTTTATTTGTAAAAATTTTCTAAATTTAATTTAAAAGATATTGATAGAGAATATTTTGAATAAGAAGAATATGAGCATGTTTGGGGATCAAATCAATAATTAAATCTTTAAAATTTTGTTTAAATTTATTTTGAGTTATTTAGTATATTTTTCAATTAGGGTTATTTAAAGTAGTTTTATCATTTTACTATTAACCTTTGCTTTGGCCACACACACACACACACACAGAGTAAGGAACATAGGATAAAAAGGAGGCACATCTGATACATAAAACAGGACGCACAATTTTGATGGAGAGGAGAAAGGAATCAGATACGACACTGCAGTTTTGTTTTTAGTTTTATGAAGGGCTAAATTTTTGATGTGATCAATTACAAATTATGATCTTAAATTTTAATTAGAGTCTTTAATATTTAAGAAAGAATTTATTTTAGCTTTATTTCAATTTACTCTTTTTCTCTCTACATCTGAATTTTATGCTTTAATTGTTATTGTTGATTAGAGTAGCTTTATTACATAATTTTTGGGTTATAAATTTTATTTGAGGTTTTGTTTGCCATAATCGATTGATATAATAACACAAGAGTAATTTGGCTTAGCTTGAGTGATTATCCATACTTTGTTTCTAGTATGGCTAACTTAGAATAATTGTTAGGTTGTGGGTTGAGGAAAATTTTAATTAATCTATAACTTAATTTATTGTTTAATTCTTAAATGATAATTTGATAAATATATAATAAAACCATAATAGTAAAGTTAAATAAAATTAATTTGATTTGTGGATGAGGAAGATTAAGTTTAAGTGATTAGGTTGTGATTGATTGCGCTGCTTGTGTTTAATAATTTTTTCAATTAAATTTTCTTTATTTATCTAATTTTAATTTAGATTTTTAAATTAATTTTATTATAAAAAACCCCCCACTTTTTAGCTTTTCATAATCATAATTTAAATAATTACTCTATTGACTCTTAGGGAGACAACCTAAGTTGCACTTTACTGCAAAATTTAGTTTTTATTAATTTTGGTGCTATTCGACAGTAGTGCCAGTGATCATCATATCCATGTGAGCATAGTGAGCAACACGAGCTATATAATCTACACATTGCATACCCTCTTCATAGCAAAAGTGGACTTTTAAATCCCAATCATCATATATCAGGTATTGTGTGTCATTGATAAGAGTAGCATAATTCTAGCTGTTGCCACAATCTCTAAAAACGGAATTAATGGCCTCTAAAGAATCAAAGCATACCATTATTTCTTGAAAGCATAATTCTTGTAGATCTCTAGGCCAGTTTTCATTACCCATATCTCTACAGTATTAATTCTCATCAAACTGAGGCATCATTGAAATCCCATTATCCAAACTCCATTACAATTTTTGAGAACTTCTCCACAAGCAATCTAGGTAGGAGAAAGCATGGAGGCATATACATCTAAGCAAATTTGTTTTAGAGCTGGAGGTGACCAAGTCTTATTACTATTCATATCAAATTGAAGAATCTGATGTTTATATTTTCCATAAGTAATCTCTTCCATAATGTGAAATTTTTCCTTTTATAGCAGCGCCTTTGTAATTGTTGCTTCCCCTTCAAAGATTCTTTTGCATCTATACTTCCACAAGAGCCAGCAAAAGATGTTAAAGATTTTTGTCTAAGGCTATCTATAGAAGAATGTCTTCTCAAAATTGCTTATTGCATTTTCTCGGATCCATGCCTGTAAAGGGAAAACAAAGAGAGCAGACAAGTAGTTAGGAGAAAAAATAAGATCCCATGCCTCTCTAGCCAGTTGGCAATCTATCAGAATGTGTATGATGCTCTCCTCACACTGACACCTAAATGGGAAATTCTCATTGTCAATAAACCCTATTTTGGCTCTTAGGGAATTAGTAATCAATCTCTCATGGGTCACTTACCAAAAGAAAAATTTAACTTTCTATGGAACTAGCCATCTCTATATTTTCTTCCATTGAGGGTTAATGTTTGTATTATTTTGTTTG